GTACCTCTCTTTTTCCTTTCCCAGCTTGGTTTGCTTCCCAAAAGCCGCCCTCCCACCAGAAAAGCTGCTTAAGAAATAGAAAAAAAATGCATGCATATAGGCAACTCGCCTTGTTTGCCTAAATAGTATTATTTGAAAAAAAAGAAAGAAATCCTCTACCTTTTTACAACCTTCAAAGGAATTATTTATTCAAGGTAAAAATCTTTTTTTCAGGCAACCACTGAGGAAATGGAACCCAACAGCCAAGAAGATGAGAAAGATGGTGAAAACCTAAAAGAAGGGAATACAGAACTTACAGGTTTGTTTCCTAACAGACTAGTTTTAAGGTAAATCATGATAACTCTTAAGATATAACAGTCAAGAAATAGAGTCAAGAATTCTTCCTAAATGAGCCACAGAAAGGTAGACTCTAAAACTGGTGTGGGGTTGTGCTGCCACCTAGAGGCTTCCTGGGGAAATTCTGACTATGATTTATCTGGCGCTAAAAACCTTTGTTTTCTTGAAAGTGTATCTCCATCCTCATAAATAAGATTATATGGCCCCAAATAAATAATGGTAAAAACTGAGGGTCCTATTTTAACACACAGTAACAGCAATAGATAAGACAGGTTAAAAATATATATCATAAAAATAGACACTGAAATAATAAAGCTGGTGAATAGTTTAAAATAATAGTTAGAAAGAATAAAGTAATGCCACAGATAGGAATATTTCTTGAACGAATGCTTTTCAATATTTTCAACACATTTCTTATTTTGATAAACATAAAAGCCTTTCACCCTCTTCCAATTCCAAATTAGTTTTAAATGGCATGTTAGAATAAGTGAACTGTCATTACTAAAAATTCCAAACTAGATTATACCCCCTCATTCTGATAGGCCCCTCAGTGAGTGACTTTTCCACCCACTCTAGAGCGTACCTACTTCTTCTCTATATATCAAAGAGCACTTTGTTTTCATTGCATTGTGTATACTATGCAATCCTCAACACATCCCAGTTATGAACCTGTGGTGATAAGAAGGAACATTGGGATACAGAAGGAAGAGTCGGGCTGCCACACAGCCTTTGGATGGAAACTCTCTGGAGATGTTCACCCACCCAGCCCGCCTATCAGAATATTTCGTGCCAGCATTTTGTCTCGTGCAGTGTTATTCCTATGCAAACTCTGGCTCTTATCAAGAACTTACGTGTTTCACAGTGGGATTCTTCGATGTGTTTTATGTTGCTGGGTGTTTTTATAATAGCATGGAAGAGCCTAGAGAATACTGGCATCTTTGGCTCCTTTATACACCTTGTCACATGGTCATTCAACTTCTTTAAGTTTCTGACTGTAACTCCATTTCAGAGCCACAGCATTTTACAACTACTGTGACTCGGTGCAGCCCCACCGCGGCCTCCGTGGAGTTTTCCTCCAGCCCCAAGCTGAGGAACGATGTGCCAGAAGAGAGAGACCAGAAGAAACCGGAAAATGAAATGAGCGGGAAGGTGGAGTTGGTGCTGTCACAAAAGGTGAATTGCGTCGTGGATTAAAGCAGTTACATTTACATAAGCATGGCTTCACAGGGCCGTGGGCTGCCGCTGGGACACTTGTTCATCATGAGGACTTAGTTTCTCTTCTCATCTTTTTTCTGTCTTTAACCTGTATTTTTCTAAATGCAAATATACTAGATGTTCATTGTAAATAATTGAAGTACATGCAGAAAGATGGATGCATTAGCCCACGTGGGTTGCTGTGAGGGAGTACCACAGAAGGGATGGCTTAGAAACGACAGACATTTATTTCTTACAGTTCTGGGGGCTGGGAAGTCCAAGATCAAGACAGATTTGGTGTCCGGTGAGAACACACTTCCTAGTTCACAGATGGACTTCTCATGTGTCCTCACTTGACAGAAGAGAGTGAGGGAGCTCCCTAGGGTCTCATTTATAAGGGCACAATCCCACTCATGAGAGTTCTGCCCTCATGACCTAAACACCTACCAAAGACCTTTCATACTGTTACCTTGGGGGTTAGGATTTCAACATATGAAGTTTGGGAGGCACAGACATTTAGTCTATAGTATATATTTTTTAAATTTATATTTATAGTGATGTACACATAAATATGTAATAAATCTATCAAGTAATATATGTACATTTATTTAAAATGAAATATAAATAAACATAGACATAGGGTAAGAGTGAGAAAAAGTCATAGAAAACCTACCTCTCTACTAGTAATAATTGGTGTATATATATATATATATATATATATATATATATATATATATTGCGTTGTTTACCCATATCTTCAGAAAAAAATCACTTCTGTCGTGGTAAACAACCTGCTTCCCTATTTATAATGGTCTGGCCCTCTAGCAACTTTAGCACGAAATTATAGCTAATTTGCCTACAAATGTCAGGTGTTCATAATAATCTGGCCACTCAGTGTATATATGCATTCTTTCTACATATATTAAATTTTATTTAAACAATCAATTATAATTATGAATAATTAGATGTGTATTTTAATGTGATATTCACATAAGTTATAAAGCTTTAAAGTTAGGTTTTGGTTTGTTGTGTATGAGCATGATTATTCTCAGCTCACTAAAGATTCTCCTTTCCATATTTAACTATTTTATAGCAGCACACTTCTGATGCCTCCGGATTTGAACAAGGAAATTGGAAACTTATTATTCTGATATAATGGGTGTTAACATCTTTTTTTAATTAACTTTCTTCTTTGTTTGGAGTCTCATTCTCTTCATAGTAATTTTTTTGTTTTCAGGCAGAGTCTAAAAGTTTTCATCTTTTATACCAATTGTTCTCAACCTTGGCTACCTTTTAGAACTTAAAAATATGCCAAGCACACTCCAGCTCAGATAAATCAGAATTTCTGGGGGCAGGGCCCAAGCACGTGTATTTTTAAAAGCTCCCCATGATTCAAATGGGCCACCAAGGTAGAGAACCACTGACTTGCCTATGGGCATACTGCCTGTGGTGATATTTCAACTTTAAAACTTAACCCTAAATTTGGATTTAACTTTAGAGTGAAAATTTTACCACTTATACATGTGGTTCTTCCACCATTTAGTCAACCAATATTGACTGTATACCTACTATGTGCCAGGGACTGTATTAGACAGTGGCTATTCAACAGTGACCAAGACGGGGCCCCTGGCATTAGGGAGCTGAGAGTGCCGTGTCCTTGGTAGAGTCTCAGAAATGCCTATGGCCTTGATGCCTTTTGGAAACTTCAGGCTCTAGCTCCCCCCTTTTTATACAAAGAGAATTAAAGAATGGTCTGGAGGTATTGAAAGAGGAACTAAACTGTGGGAAAACATTGGGGGCAGGCAGGATTTCCTGTCTTTGCAGGTTTTGCCTGATTTATGTTACACTTTATTATTTCGTATTCTTCCAAGTTGACTTTTTGTTCCATTTAAATCTAACCTGAAAGGAGAACTCTACTTCATAGCTAGAATTTTTTTTTAATCAAACAGAATGAATACCATAACTAAAGAGTGTTCTTCTGCATACCTCGTCTGTGAACCTCACTTGTGAGCCATCTTTGGACCACAAGTGTCACATCTACCCTGTGGAAAAATTGTTTTCAGGGTCTTAACTGTGTGTGTGTGTGTGTGTGTGTGTGTGTGTGTGTGTGTGTAGTCTGTTGTGTTTCGTTATTGTTGTTGTTGTTTGGGTGTTTTTGTTTCTTATCAATTGGTACAAAGTACCTACAGCCCCTGAATTCTGTTCTATGGACTCCAGGTTAAGAATTTCTGCTAGTTGATTAACAAATGGTGTAATGGTCTTTGAACACACTGCTTTTCTTCCACCATGTGAATTTTTTTCCTTCTCCTTTCCCTCCTGTACAATTAGCTCTTAGAAGAAGGGAGAGAGGTGATCACTATGGCTGCAACAATTTTTACTTCACTTGAGAGTGTTGCCAAGTGCCCATGCACACACACTGATCTTTTTATATGGTGGTCATTTTGAGTATTTCTGCTGACTGTGAACTGTTTCATTTACAACTGGGCATTAACTGAAACATGTTTTTATCTGACTTAAATATGGAGGAGATGGTATGAGGTCAGGATGTGAGGGTTGTCAACTTATTGCATGTTTAATTAATACTAAAGTTCATTTAGCTATCTGGTTGACTTCTCTAATGTAGAATGAAGTGATTAACTGTATTTTCTTCAGGATTCCATTAGGGTTGGATATATTATTTATAAGAAAAAATAGGTGCCCAGCCAACGTGGCTCAGTGGTTGAGCATCAACGTATGAATCAGGAAATCATGGTTCGATTCCCTGTCAGGGCACATGCCCAGGTTGCAAGCTTGATCCCCAGTAGGGGGCGTGCAGGAGGCAGCCGTTCAAATGATTCTCTCTCGTCATTGATATTTCTATCTCTCTATCCCTCTCCCTTCCTCTCTCTGAAATCAATAAAAATATATTTAAAAAGAAAAAATAGAATCCTATCAAGAAGAAATTGTAGACATTAAATCGTCCTGAGGACCAAATCATAGATCAGCTTATGATGAAACACTGGTCTCTCTATAACCTCACTTGCCTTATTGGCCATCAAATGAATCTGTTGGGAACCCAGCCTCCAGCCAGAGTGAATCAGAGGAAGTCCTATACACAGCTGGAAGGACATGAACTGATCCAGCTCTGCTCCTCATTCAGATCTTTGCTCAGAGTCTACTGATTATTATTTTAGACATTAGTTTGGTAATCTGGTCTCTCAGCAATCGGTTGATAAGAAACAACAAATCAGAAAGAAAGTGCTTCTACCAAAGGCCATTCAGATTGGGAAAAACAAGATGAAATTAAATAGCAATAACAAGAAAATTCTACTTTTACAAAACAAATGTAAGAATTTGTAAATTGGGGACTATTTACCATAGGACAAGTAATCTAACATGCCTCAAAACCCCCTAAGGGCATCATTGCTATGGAGCTGTTTGATGATGGCTATTTATAATAATGCTTCTGTGTCAACAGGCAAAGTATATTATCTTTAATGTGTTTTGCATGAATTTGATGGGGGGTTGTGTAGTGTCTGAGAATAATGTCCATTAGAAGGTAATATTACCTTAGTATTTAGCACTTATGTAGTAAGGGGGTATTTTTTAGTCTTATATGGGACATCTCACATCCTGACATTATGTAGCATCAGGGAGAGACTGTGTGATTGATCAATAAGAAAACGAGTCAGAATGATGTATAATCCCAAAGATGGAATACTATCTTCTGGGTTTGGGAAAAAAGTGATCATGAAATTTGTATATGCTCTCATTTGATACCTCTGGAAAATTGACCTCTACATTAAAGTAGAAAAGCACGAATGGGGATAGAAAAATGGGGCCAATTTTCCATTTAAAAGTTAGATGTTTGGGCTTACTGACTTATGTGATTGCCATGGATTCTTTCATTTTATTTTGCCTGTGTCTTTGCTAATAGACAATCCTTGCCATGTTTGTGTCCATTGCTCCTGACCCAGGTGGTAAAGCCAAAGTCTCCAGAACCAGAAGCAACCCTGACGTTTCCATTTCTGGACAAAATGCCTGAAACCAACCAGTTACATTTGCCAAATCTCAATTCTCAAGGTAAAGAGAAGGAAATGCTTTATTTTAGTCCTACATGTTCTCCTGGGCCCATCTGCAGTGAAATATTACTTCATGTGAATGAGGATTACTTCCTTTATGTTGATGTCCCTTTGGCCATAGTGTTTGCAGAGCCCGGTGGCTAGATTACTGATTTCAGAATAGAATTCTGGGGCTACATTCTCTGTGGCCCAGCCAAGGACCTCAGCTGCCAAGACCATTTTGCCAGCCGGGCACCATAGGCATGATAAGGCCTACACAAGTATTTGGTTCCTTAAAATAATTTTATTGTCTCTAAAATGGGAAAAAATAAATAACTTTAACGAAAAGTTTATAATCTTAATATTATATCAATTCCATTAATTGTTAATTATGTAGTCTTTATAAAATATCCACTTGACAATAATTTTAGAAGAAAGTCAGACTTTCTTACTTCATAATAATTGCTGGGTGTGCACCGAGAAATTATTCCACGTTGTAGGTTAAATGTATTACTCATAAGCAAAAACTTTAATCTTTCCCAAAACTGTTATAGCAAGAATAGATGTGTATATACAGTAGGTCCTCGGGTTACATCGGAGAGCCAACGAACGCGATTTTCGCCGTAAGTCGGAACCCACCTACATAAGCACCTCCGTCACTCACATGGAGCACACACACAGAAGTAATGAAGTGAAATAGTAAAAAAAATTTAAAAGAAAGATAACAATTCCTGACCTTTACTTGTGGGTAATAAATAATAAAAAACATAAAGCACATTTGTACATACGTCGAAATGACAGAACTTTTTTTTTTAATAAATAAATGGGAGATGGCGATGTAACCACAAAATGACATACTTCGAGTTTGACATAACCGGCGGACTGCCTGTATATATATTAAATACATGTATATGCTGAGGGTATATTTTACTATGTTTCATATGTTTGATATAATGTGTGGAGGGGTGGCCTCTAAAAAGATAGGAGTTTAGGGCCTATGGGAGTTGTAAAAGGCACTGACCACTGCAAATGTCTATGTGTCATGTGACACA